GCCCCGGAGCGCGAGCGAGAGAGCAATCGGGGAAATCCAACCCGGCCCCACCCCGAGCGTGGGCTGGGCGGGGTCCAGGCCGCACCACACTCCGCTCCGCCTCTCGTGGTCCTAGAGCCCGCGTGCTACCAGAGCTTTGGCTACGAGGGAATCGCCGAGCGAGGCGCGGGTCCTGGGTAAACCCTGCCGGGGGAAGGACCGGAGCCCATCCTGCCGCGGAAACCGAACAGCGAGGCTCTTATCTGAGCGAATCAGGGTGGGTTGAGGGGAAAGTCGCTTCCGTAATAATAGCCTGAGTAATGCACCCCCTAAAGCACTTCCCAAAATGCAAGCGTGGTTTTTTTTAATTTATTTATTTACATATGTTGGGTATTTACCTGGGTCAGAGCCCCATAACTCAGAGAAAGACAAATTAATTAAATAAAAATGAAAAGTGGCAAAGAAGAAATTGTATCTATGTTTAGCTCTTTGAACTAACAGTAACGATAAGGGGTCGGGGGGGGGCTGCCTCTTTACCGCCTGTTGGCCTTGAATTTAGAATATATTTGTTCTAGACACCAGGAACTGCAAAAAAAGAAAGCTCTCAACCCAGCAGCGAGAACGATGCACTAAGTCCAGCAAGTGAGAAAAAGATCTTGTGAGAAAGTGTTAGCTAATGGGATATTTCCTGTTTTCTATTTATATAAAATTCATACTTGCCCCCTGTTCCTCATGTCAGGCAGCTCAGTTTTACTTCTTCCTCTCTGAGAAAGTAGTTCAAGGGAGTAGAATAACTTTATTAGGACGCTGGTGATACTTTTCAGTTGAATAGTGATGGGGGGGTGCTTTCTGGGAGGGTTCCCCCATTTCAGTGGGGCCAAGGACCTGTATTCAGACAAAACTAAAATTAGGTATGGTTTACATCACAGGTTAAAAGCATTCAACAAGCAATTACATTTAGGTGAAAAAAAAAAAAATGCATTTGTTGGATACAGTTTCCATAGTGATTACCATTATAAACTTGTTTGGGTTAAAAAAAAAAAAAAAAAAAAATCAGCTGGTTTATAGTCACGTCTCATAATCATCAGCCTGGTCTCTGAGTTCGTGCCTCCAAGGAAGGTCAGACCCTGCCTCTTTGCCCTAACATCCAAGCCAGTGCTTAGGGCTCCATGCACAGCCCACCTGTGTTATTAATTGTGTTCCACCCCCACCCCACTCACCCACCCACACACACACCCGTTCGTACAAGGACTACCACATCTTAGATCCCAAGGGGCTGCCTGGGTCTCCTGAGTGTGGCAGTGCTCCTGGACCATGCCTGTCTTGCCCATCTCGATAAACCTCCATGGTCATCTGTCCTTCCCAGTGACTCATGGCAACCCCATGTGTGTTGGAGGACTGCACACCATAGGGTTTTTAACAGCTGGGTTTTCAGAAACACATCACCAGGCCTCCCTTCCAAATTGCCTCTAGACCCACTGCTGTCAAGTCAATTCTGACTCCAAGCAACCCCACGGGACAGAGTAGAACTGCCTCATCCAAGGCTGTCATCTTTACAGAAGCAGACTGCCATGTCTGTCTCCCACGGGTTTGAACCACCTACCTTTTGGTTAGCAGCCAAGTGCTTAACCACTGTGCCACCAGGGCTTCTCTAAGGTGCCTCTTAATGGGTTCAAACTGCCCACCTTTCAGGGTACCAGTCACACATTCCTTCTGGTCCAGATGTGCCTGAGGCTAAGCCCACCTCTACCTTTGCTGCTCACCAATGGGCTTTGATGCCTCATGAATCCTAAGATGTGGCAGGAACAGAGAGGCCTCTTGGGACCAACTTTCCACATAAGTTTATGTAAGAACCAACCCGAACCAAACCCAC